TGCTTATCCAGTCAAAGGCCTTCTCTGGTTCAGTTAAATCGTCCCAAGATTTTCCTGATTGCTTATCCAGTTGAAGACATTTCAAGACCTAGACCGGTTCAGTTAAATCGACCTTAAGATTTTCCTGATTCTTATCCAGTCAAAGGCCTTCTCTGGTTCAGTTAAATTGTCCCAAGATTTTCCTGATTGCTTATCCAGTTGAAGACATTTCAAGACCTAGACCGGTTCAGTTAAATCGACCTAAGATTTTCCTGATGCTTATCCAGTCAAAGGCCTTCTCTGGTTCAGTCAAATCGTCCCAAGATTTTCCTGATGCTTATCCAGTTGAAGACATTTCAAGACCTAGACCGGTTCAGTTAAATCGACCTTAAGATTTTCCTGATTCTTATCCAGTCAAAGGCCTTCTCTGGTTCAGTTAAATTGTCCCAAGATTTTCCTGATTGCTTATCCAGTTGAAGACATTTCAAGACCTAGACCGGTTCAGTTAAATCGACCTTAAGATTTTCCTGATTCTTACCCAGTCAAAGGCCTCTCTGGTTCAGTCAGATCGACCCTAAGATCTCCCTGATTCTTATCCCAGCAGAAGACACCCAAGATTTTTCTCAACGAGCGTTGTTGAAGTTAAAGTCGCCCAAGGTCATCTTACCATTCATGCTAAGGTAGTAACCATCCCTGGTTCTTTCATCGCCGTTTGAAGCTCCAGACTCAGCTCCTGTAACCAGTCAGGACACATCTATGCCAGGCATCTAAAAATCAGCTCCTGCAACGTGTCAGGTACTCATTTTTCTTTTGCAGGTATGCAGGTTCTCGCCAAGGAATCTCTTACGCAATCAAACATCCAGATGGCATCTATAAGCCCATTCCCATCATTGCTAACATGTGAGCGCAAATTTCCGGGCACTCTAGTGTCCAATCATCTTTTACCCTCGGATTACGAAAGGCACGTCAGCCAATCTGCATCCTCAGGTCTAAGAAGATTGAACAGGGGCAACTGTTATACCCCAAAATTTGCCCTCCCATATTCTTCAAGAAATTGCCAAGACAAGTCACAAAATTCCCCAAGGGTTGTGCAGGTCAACTGTCTCCTATACAGTCAAAACTAGGGTTTGTGTGCTGATCAAGAAAAGGAAGTGTTCAAAGGCTCAATCAAGTCTCATATGCTTACAAACATGGTCAAGCATCCTCATATCAAGTTTCAAGGCATTCAGCTCAAGATTGCACAGTCAAAACCCTAAATTGCACTACAGTCAACTGTAGGGGCAAAATGGTCATTTGGCAGTCAAAAGTTCAAATTTTTGGTCAACATATCATTTTGAAGCCACAAACATCATTTGATCAATGCTTGATCATGATTCTCAAAATTTGGCTCAGAAATCATCAAAGATGCAAAAGTTGCTATATTTGGACAGCTGAAAAAGTCAACTGAAATTGACCAGGGCATAACTTTCACATGGATTATCAGAAAAATTCCATCCAAAGCTCATTTTGAAGAGAAAGACATTTCCTACAACTCATATTCATACTTCAAGTCCAAGAAATGCTCTCACAAAAAGTTATCAATTTCAACATTATAGGTCATTTTCAAAAGTCAACAAAAAGGGACTTTAAGTCAAAGGCCATAACTTGAGATTGGTAAATCAAAATGACATGGGACCAAAGGCATTGGTTAAAGGACTCAAAGACCTTTCCAAAATGTCCAAGAACATGTGGAAAGCTTAAAAATTGAGCAAGTTATGCCTTGTAGAAGTTGGGAAATTTTTGTGAAATGGCAAAAGTCAACTATCCTTGAAAATCCAATTTTTTGACAAAAGGGCCCCATTTTTTCCACTTGGTTCATCCTTGTCATGCCACACACGTGTCCCATGGTTAATTTCAAGACCAAATATTGATTTTTTTATTTTATTTAATTTTTGATGATTTAATTCATTTTAATTCTTTGAAAATTCAAATAAAATTGAAAAAACCAATGGAATAGTGTCATGTGAACTTGGACAATTTCTATGTATCATGAACCAACTCAAGAAATCAGGCTAGGGTTCATTTGCACACTAGGTCTAGGTTTTTGCTAAAAAGGAGGAAAAATGGTTAAGAGTGAAAACCCTAAGATTAATTCCTTCATGAGCTTGAGTCTAGGTCAAAGAGTAAGCCAATTCCATTCCATTATGATCACTGAGTCCAACCCTAACCATAATATGCCATATGCTGCGCTGAAGAGCCATTGGACATTTTGAAAAATTAGCCTTATAAGCAAAAACTGAAATCAAGGTGAGGGAGAGTTTGAAGCCTTAATTCTTTTTCCATTAGCATCCTGGACAATTTCTGAGTACATCCCAACTCCTAACATCAATCAAAACGCGAAGAAGCAGTGGTGACAACTCAAACTGTACAGAGAATTTTTTGAAATCGTGTTCTCAATTCTAGGCATGATCACTGCATTTTAACTGTGGATTCTTGTTCCTTACAAAGATTCGAAGCTGTTCATTATATTTAATTGCATTTTCATAAGCCATAGACGAATCTACCATGTTTGGTTTTTAGGGTTTCCAGCTTTTTGAATTAGGGCTTTTGAAACGGAGTAAAATCAAGCCTCAAGACCATTGTCATTAAAACCAGCATGTTCCAATGAACAAGAAACAACCATCGCGATTAATTTATGTGATCTCCAGACCTAATCGCTATTTTTTCAAAAGTTGTCTAATGAAACGCGTAAGAAAGCGTTGCCTTTGAGTTTTGTTTTGCAGGGGGGTGAGGACGATGAAGGCGTGTCAACCAGCGATTCGTCCATTCAAAATTCGCGCGTTTCAGCCACTAGCGCGTTGCATTTGTTTTATATGATTTATTTATGTATTATATATCAAAGTGATTAAGTAGCTCAGCTGGCAAGCTATCAGCGCGTTAACCTCAATGACCTGGGTTCAAGTCCCAGGTCTGGCAAAAGTTCAATATTATTTTTCAATGTAAAATCTTATGCAGGCACGTTCTTGAGGACCACCATACGTCCTCCTCATCTATTGCCCACGCGTCCATCAGAAGCAATCCAAGGGCCATGACCAAAGGTGTATCATAGATTCCAGTCAAATGCATCACACCTGATCAAAAAAGTCAATGGACTTCAAGCAAATGGGCCAGGCTTTTCAAATCTGCACCTCACAATTTTGGGGTCTACCCCCCCCTGGTTTGCCCATTTAATTTATATTTTTATATCTTTTAATTACTATTTTATTTGCTTTGTTGTTTTAATTCAATTAATTTATTTTCACAAAAATGTAAAAAACATCATAAAAATAAAAAATGCCCAAATAAAAATATAATTTTTATTTTAATTATTTTCTAAATAAATTGTATATAAATTACTTAGTTTAATTAGGGTATAATTTTAATCTTTTTTAATAAAAATCCAAAAAAACTAGAATTTAGGTTTAACAACTTTTATTTTCTTTTTTAGTTTTCCTTTTTTCAGAATAATTATTTATTTATTTATTTTCCATAAATTAAAAATTGTACATAAATTAATTTAGAGTTAAATTAGGTTAAAAGTCAATATTTTCATAATAAATTTAAAAAAACATTAGAACTAGGGTTTAGCATTTTAATCTTAATTAATTTTTCTTTTTTCTTTCAAATCTAAAAAACACAAAAATACCATTTTTCATTTAATTTTAATTTTAGATAACTTAATTATTTTAATTCCTTTAAAGGGTTCAATGCCCTCGCATTTGATTATTTTCTTTTTTCGCGCGTTTCATTTATTTCTTTTGTGAATATAATGTACTTGTACCAAAGCCATGTAATAGCTATTAGGCATTTCTTTTCTGCAATTTATTTTAAATCGGGTTCGGTTTATTTTGGCGATGTGGACCCGCGCCCTTTGTAATAGCGTAGGACTTTTATCTTTTCCGCACTTTAAATTCCCGCACTTTTAACTGTTAAACAATAACATGAAAGAATGAATGCCCAAAAATAAAATCGAATCGTTAGATCACTAATGCATGACAAGACAAACAATAAACTGAAAATGACACACAATTCACACACCACCCCTAGGGTACGCCTCACTGTTGCCTTTCGAAAGGTGATCGTCGAGTAGAGGACGTCTTAGTAAGTCCTCATGATCCGGGAACCTGGCATGAGGGTAGCTTCTAAGGTGTCTTCCCATTGCTCCGGTGATCACCATGTCCCTAAAACTCGAATTGACCCGAACACCTCCAACGGTGGTGCTACCTACCTCTCAATGGTGGGATGGCACTACTTTAAAGGACATTTACACAGACGAATTCCTTAGGGTAGGTAGGTTCTCAAGGATACTTGCTCTAATTTCAAACAAACTCAAAAAGACTTTTCACACCAACACTTTTCAAAAGCTTTCAAAGCAAACTTTTCAAACACTCTGACGTACGAGTCGAACTGAAATTTTTCAAAGAAACTTTTTAAACCCACAATTGAAAAGCAAACAAAAAATTTTGAAAACACATTGAGCAAGTATCTAAGAGCCCATGGATAACCATGGATAGAAAGGGTGCTAACACCTTCCCTTTCTATAACCTACCTCCCGAACCGAGAGCAATCTCTTTAAAGGAATTTTTCTGTGCTTTTGTCCTTTCCAATTGGAGAAAATAAAAGACGGTGGCGACTCTTGCTTCCGCGACATTTCGCGAACCAGCTTTAAAACAGTCAGTTCCAGATCCACCGATCACACAAGTCCTTCATCCGCTCCGACTCAAACCACTTTCGTCCACACCCTCCACCGTGTTGTTCGTCACTCCGTCCAACTGCCTTCGTTCGTCGTCCGCTCGATTCCAAAAACCCCACCCTAGATCTACTGTACCACATCTTACCGCCGTAAACTTATATACATCGCTATTTCTGATCGGCAACAACGCTCAACACCTTCAGCAGCAACATAACAACACGACGTGCTCAAAATTGCATTATTGGTAACTTCTCTTCATTTTATTTCAATACAGTTTATCGTTGTTGGTTTATGTTGGTGAGAAGGTTCAATGAATGGATGTTAATTTGCTATTGATTATGTTTTTCTAACGTGGGTGTATGTTGGTGTGTTTGTATGTATTTCTGCATTTATATTTCGATCGCCATTTCGTATCGTTGTGTTTGAGTTGAATCTGAGTGTTTTGATAGTTGTTTGAGTTTGTGTGGGCATTTTCATATTTGTTGTTGATATAAGAAGTTGACAAGTAAGATAATAAAAATCGTTTCTGGAGATATACTAATGTATGTTTTTATCTATGAATTTGAAAGTATAATTATTAAAAAAAAGTGTTTTATTTCTTGATCTTGTCTTATCTTATAATTTATGTAGCAAAAGTTTATCTTGTCGGTTGAAGCACGAGATTGGATTGAGACCACTGTTAGAGAGGCATGGAGAAGATATAAGCACAAAATTAAGAAGAATCATTTTTTGAAGTATTCCAACATGACCGAGAGACTCAAAAATCGTCCGCCAAACGTGCCAATAGCCCAGTTTAAGAGTCTTTGTGCTTATTGGAGTAAGGAAACTATACAAGTAAGATTAATAATTTTTTTTATGTATGTGTGTGAATTTACACCTTTCTATGTATGCCATAATTAAGTAATATTTATTATAATAATTCCGTCAAATTTAAATGTAGGAAATCAGTGAAAATAACACTAGAAATAGAGCTCAACTAAAGTGGATGCATCGAATGGGTCCCAAAAACTTTGCTTTGACTCGTGAAAAAGTGGTAACTTTCTTTTGTTCTCAATAAAGTATTCCTTGTATGAATGTTTCTTTGTTCAATTAAAGTATTCGTGAAAAACTTTTCTTTGACTCGTGAATAGGAATTTTAATTCACATGATTTGTTATGGAATTATTTTGATTTGTGCAGCGTGAAAAGGAAAAAAGAGAGCCCACTCAATCAGAAATGTTTGTTGAAACTCGAAAAGGAAATAAAGGAAAGGAACTGGATGTAGAAACTGGAAAAGTAATTGTATGTAACATTGTTTATATAATACGTTTGCTTAATATAATCGGCCAACATTGTCTATAATAGTAGTTAATATTTTTTTTGTTGTAATTTATGCTAGTCCCAACTTCAAGAAATGGTTGAAAAGGAGGAAAGTGATACAAAAGCTTTTAAAGTTGTTTTTGGAAAGGAGTGTCCAGGCAGGGTATGTTGTTATGGGAGAAACATAACTAAAACTTCCTTAAAGAGAAAGGTAGAGATTAATGCTTTGAAACAAGCCCACAGTGAAGAGGTCTCTACATTAAGGGACGAGTTTCAAGATAAGATTGATAGATTGCAAAATGATTTTAAGACCGTAATACAACAATGCAACCCTCAAATTAATATAGAGTCAATTGAAGATTTGTTAGGATTATCTCATGGAGATGCTAATAGTTCCCCAAAGGATATAAGACCGCAAATGCATTCATCTACATCAACGCATGCTCCATGTCATGGAAAGGTAACCATATATACCAATATTATTGATTTATATTTTTCTAATTATGTTATAGTATAAAAATGGTTGTTAATGTATGCAAAAATTTGCAAGTAGTGACAACACCTAGAATAAAGTAAGTGGTTGAAATTATTTAAGTAGTGACAACACCTAGAAGTGGCTGAAACTGTTTAAGATTTGTTATATGCAAAAGAGAAAAATCTAAATTTTTAACTTTGGACATATTGACTTAAAGTAAAACATTGAGTATTTTTTATGAATATTCCTGGTATGAGAAGATAAGTAAAGTAATATAAAGCCCACCCATGACATGAGATGTGAAGAATATAAACAATGTGTTTTGCTCATTGATTTAGTTTTTATTTGTGCGAGGTTTAATTCTTGTTGATGTCTTAATTGTCCTTTGGACCAAAAATATTTATGGTTGATGTGTTTTATTTTATTTTCTTATGCAGCAATGTATCAATGAAGATGTTGAAAAGGGCGATATAAATGATGAAATTCAAGAGGACGACATAAATGATAAAATTCAAGAGGACGACCTGAATGATAAAATTCAAGAGGACGAGGTAGATGACGAATTTCAAGAGGACGACATAGATCTAGATGATGAATTTCAAGAGGACGATATAGATGGTGAATTTCAAGAGGACAACGAAGATGAAAAATTTATGGAGGATAACATATCTAACGAATTTCAAGAGGACGATCTGGATGATTTACTCCTAGAAGACAAACTTGAGTGAGTTGGATGATGTCTTTTTTTTTGGCTTGTAGTTGAAAGCATTAAACTTGAAATATGATTTTTGTTCTTTTGTTGAACTATGTTTTTAGTTATTTTACTAAGGTCATACTTCAAAGTATTAAAAGTAATGTTACGTTAGGCATTTTGTGTACTCTATATACTATATCTTGAATTAAAGTTTGAACTCAATTTTATTATATTACAACTTTTATGGATGTATGGTTTAAGTTATATAATCAATATTATTTTTGAAGCCAATTATTATTGACTATATTATTTTGATAATAATTGCAAAATTGTATATTTTATGTGGACACTATAAAACAACAACCTATAAGCTATGGCTACACTTCAAAAACGATCTTCCTGATTCAGGTTTAACGCAACGCTTGTTAATTGTAGCCGAATTTAGCAACGCTTAAAAAACGTTGTCTCAGAGGCCGCAAATAATCATCCCCTATTCCTTTTCTATAGTCTATGTTTTTCAAAAGTGTGCCCAAAAAACATAAAAAAACATTGCCTCAAACAATAGGCAACGCTCGCACAGGAGACGCCTAGAAAACGTCCCCTATTTGTTTAGGCAACGATTTTCAGAGTTCTGGCAACACTTTTCAATTGTTGTTGGAGAGGCTAAATGTTGTAGTGATTTAAGATATATATTTTTTAAATAATTAATTTCAAATAACCAACTACCTCATTACTATCCGGTAAATCCACTACATAGCCAATCTCACTCACCCCGTCTAATTACGTTATTCTCCATTATCTCAATTATACATTACTTATTTATTTTCCTAATATAATTTATTTTATTCTCACACTTAACTCCATATTTATTCTACTACATCTAATTCTCACACATAACATAGTTATGCTATTCCATCTCATTCTTATGTTGTTGCAGTTGCAACACTATAAAAATTAAATTTATACTTACATTTTTCATGTTTATGCTACTCCGCATAATTCTCATACACAATTTCACATTTATGCTACTCTTTCTTATTCTCATGTTGTTGCAACATCGGTATTTTTCTTCTCAACAACAAAATTATTATTTATGATATAACTATTTAGTAACATTCTACCTCCTGCTTCTAATCATTTTATTCTTTTTATAAATAAAAAAAACAAGCATTTTTCTACTAATTTTATTTGATCTTTTTTTATTTATAATTATTTATATTAAAAAGTTGAATCTCCGTTAACTATATTTATTTGCATTAGCACAAAATAATGCATTTTTTGGTACATAAAATATTGTGGAAAACAAAATATAAATTTAAAGATAACTTTTTATGTTTGTTTTTATTTTCCTCCTAAAACAATAATGCATGTTATTTATAAATGATTTCATTGTCTTTTTCTTATGTTTAGAAAGTGAAAAAATATGATAATGGAAAAGAGTAGTAGTAACATCATAATGTTTAGTAGGTTTTTGAAGAGTACCACCCATAAAAAAAATATTTAAAATAAATTGTTGCAACCATAAAAATTGGAGAAGTATATAGAATTCAAATAATTATGTGAAATACATTACATTAATCGTTATTATTATAAATTGTTATAATTTATCCATTTTTATTTTTACCTTCTAAATTATATATTCATTTTAATTTTTATAAAAAAAATGTTTAAATTTTGTTTCTATTTAACCTTGAGATATAAATATTTAATTATGTTGATAAAGTTTTATACTAATATATTTTAATCAAAATAATAAATAAATAAATAATTTATATTGATATATTCAAATAAAAATAGTTAAATTATAAATAATAATTTAATATTATTTATCCGTGCATCACTTGGATATACATCTAATATATAAACAAACCAATTGAGTTGGGTGGAAAAGAATTAACCTAATTGAGTATTTTTATTATTTATTTTTTATGATAAAGTAAAGTTAATAATTGCTTTAAAAAGTGTTTTTTTAAGTTAAAATTGCTTATGCTTTAGAATTGTATCTCCCCTTTTGCAAAACAACAATGAATCTTTATTTTTTTTCAAGGAATCTATATCATCTAACAATTTTTTGACCTATTTGTTTTAAATTTTTCCAGCAACTTCTAATATAATATATATATATATATAATAATATAAATATATATATATTATATATATATATATAATATATATATATATATATATATATATATATATATATATATATATAAATATAAATATATATATATATATATATATATATATATATATATATATATATATATATAGTATATATATATATATATATATATATATATATATATATATATATATATATATATATATATATATATATATATATATATATATATATATATATATATATATATATATAATACTAAATGCACAAATGAAATATCAGAAGTCTTAAAGAAAAATATTAGCCATCACTAATAATGTTTTAAAAATAGCTCTAGTGACTATTGTGTTTACATATTATTGCATTACTGGAAATATGAGAGAAATATGGAATGAGTTAGAGGTCAATTAGGAGTAGGAGGAAGGGGATGCTTTCTAATTTCCTCCTAAGTTTTTATCTTTAGGACAGTGGTGGGTGTACTCATTATGAAAAAACAGTCTCATAAGTTGCTATTTACTTAAAATCTAAATTCCAAAATTATTTCTCTTTTAAATATGTGTTTAGAATGTTTCTTGAATCATAAATAATCTAAAGGTATATATAATTACTTTTTTGAACAGTTTATTTATATGATATTTTTAAATTATCATATATTCACTATAATATTTGTTGTCTCTGGCAACACTTTTTTAGGTAACATGTAGAAATTGTTGCCTTAAATTCATATAGGAAACGATTTACGATTGTTGTCAAAAATATGTTTGCAACCCTGATAATCGTTGCCTAAAATACTTTTGGGGACGTTTATGGAGCGATACTCTTTTATTTTTTTGCCAACAATTGTTAATTATGCCCTTAACTGCTTTTGGGGACGATTTTAGAGCGTTAAAATATTATTTCTTTAGCAATGTTTGACAATTGTCCCCTAAAATATTTTTGGGGACATTTTTAGATTGTTACATTAGTTCTAATAAAAGGCTACATTTCTGAAATGTTGTATAAATGTTTTTAGCATTATCAAATTTTTGGTGGCAATCTTCCCTCCAAAACTTATACACTAAAAAACAAATATTTTTCTCTAAACATTATTAATATATATATATATATATATATATATATATATAGTATATATATATATATATATATATATATATATATTATATATATATATATATATATATATATATATATATATATATATATATATATATATATATATATATATATATATAATATTAAAAAATTTAACACATAATTATAAAATAATATTTAATTATAAGCATGTATTTATCCACATGGACTTAATAAAAAACATATAATTATAAAATCTTATTACATGCTGTATCCACACTTAACAAAAAAATTAAGTCAAACTATAATTTCTATTACTCCCTCTTGCGATGTCTCTAATCTTAAATGCAAATATTACAGTTAAAATAATTGAGAATTTGAAGACAATTGAGTTTGAATAAGCCATGACTAGAAGCATAATATCTACAAGACGTATATCAACCTTTATTTATATAATACTAAATAGTTTAGGCGCATTTCTTTTTTAAAAACTTAATAACTTTTTTGCAACTTCTTTAATAATAATTATAATTTAATATATGTTGGTTTCATATTAAGGGACACCATAAAGATATAATCATTATAAAAATTTAATATTTCTTTATATATCAAGTAATGTTTTTTAATAAATAGTGAAACATTAATAACATTAATAAAGTTTTAATTTTAAAGGAGGAATTCAAATATTGTTATAATATATAATTATTATTAATAATGTGCTATGCATTTCATTTCATTGTTTCAAATTTTAAAATATTTTAGATATTTTATACAAATTATAAAATACTTTAGATATTTTATACAAATTAAAAAAATATAGTTAATTTATATGAGAAAAAGAAATTATATATGAATTTATAATATTGACCATTATTTTACACAACAAATTAAATAATTAAAAAAAGAAATAAATGAAAAATGGTATATCATTAAAAGTATCACTAATGTTGCAAAATGAAAGATCGTAATAATTAAAATTTAAAGTGATTTTTAATTTAAGATAGTTTTATTTTGTAAAGAGATTTTTAATTTAGTACGGAGGAAATAAATTATATTATCATGATATATCTATTATATATTTTTAAATTTATATTGTTAATTTAAAATTTTTCTGAATTTTTAAATTAAATATTACTTGTATTTTATAACTATCTAGGATAAAACACATAAGTAATATTTTTCTGTAAAAAAAAGGGAAAATAGATATTAGTATTAATACTGATGGCACAATTGCCCACTTCTTCTTAAAAAAAAATAGAAAATAGAAAAAAGAAAAAAAAACAGAAAAGGAAAACAAAAGCTTTCGATCTCCTTCTTCACACATTCCGCCGCCGAACCTAACAGTACCGCTCTCAGAAGCTCCAAGTCCAAGTCCTTCATCCGCTCCGACTCAAACCACTTTCGTCCACACCCTCCACCGTGTTGTTCGTCACTCCGTCCAACTGCCTTCGTTCGTCGGTCCGCTCGATTCCAAAAACCCCACCCTAGATCTACTGTACCACATCTTACCGCCGTAAACTTATATACATCGCTATTTCTGATCGGCAACAACGCTCAACACCTTCAGCAGCAACATAACAACACGACGTGCTCAAAATTGCATTATTGGTAACTTCTCTTCATTTTATTTCAATACAGTTTATCGTTGTTGGTTTATGTTGGTGAGAAGGTTCAATGAATGGATGTTAATTTGCTATTGATTATGTTTTTCTAACGTGGGTGTATGTTGGTGTGTTTGTATGTATTTCTGCATTTATATTTCGATCGCCATTTCGTATCGTTGTGTTTGAGTTGAATCTGAGTGTTTTGATAGTTGTTTGAGTTTGTGTGGGCATTTTCAT